CATGCTCGCGGTTAGTTTGGATTTACATGCTACAAGTTATACTGTATATGAACTTTCTCCATCAGTTGCAGACAAACTTATAAAAAATCTACAAGCTTCAAACTTTTTTCTTTCATTCTCAGCAAAAATGTATTTTAAATATGTAGATAATTTAACTGCTGAGGCACATGACAAAATATTTGATGAATAGTTGATCATAGTGCATAATAGTAGCTCTGTATTTGATGCCAGATCTTCATACGGGTTTTTTATAGCTACTTGACTTCTATTTACGTTTGTGACACAACAAAGTTCTAAATCGTCAGCAGTCTTGGGCGATGTCAGTCCATGCATGGCAGACTTCAGAGAGGATGCAGGACACAGTGGGGAACCCGATTCTTTTGCCTACTTCTCGAGAAGAGCCTTTTGGCAAGGACCCTGAGCGTGAAAGCCAAGCTCTCGGCAACACAAACTGTAGCGTAGTGGATGGCCCGTCAATTAAGAAATGCATGCTGTGGATGCAGCAAATCCTCAAACTGGCCGACGGACATCCTGAATCTCCTCATCCACCGCTGCACAATTCTCCCTCCACTGGTACGGTTCTATGAAGAGGCAGCGCAAACCTCCACCCAACTTGGTCTTTTTCTCCTTATTAAGACTATGGGAGCTCATCATCATACTTTTAACTCTTCTATCTATTTTTTTGTTGTGCTGGGTAAAACCTGAATATCACTATTAAAAAACGCTTATCAAATGGATCAAAGATCGTCTGATACAGGATCTGTAGAAGGTCCAAAATAATTTTAAAATAAATGACCTGCTACGTGCCATCTGCTGCAGTATGAATCAGTCATAACACTATGATGATTACTTTCTTAATGTGGTTACTAAAGTGACTCACTAACGTTTCTGGAATAAAAAGTGCATGCATGACAGGACAGACCGGCTCTAGCTTGTCAACATGGTGATTTCACTAGATATCTATGCAACACAATACACAGACGACTTGAAATACATAGAAATATTATGGTATCAGTTCAAATTCAAACTAGATGTTCTTGCCGATGTTTTTTGTCAGATATAGCGATATTCCGTTTGTGACATTAAAAAAACGGTGCACTTACACGCAACAGAGAAAGGGTGTTTCATAGAAATGTCAATGCTACTCGGGCAGCAGGTCCTAGAGAGAAGAGGACAGCAGCAAAAAACAATGGATGCAGTAGAAAAGGTTAAGAGCCCTTCAATAAATATCTGATGGGTTTATTTTTCTTCGAGTAAAAAAATACATTTTCCTTTTTTTTGTTAAAATTTGTGATCGTATAGAATCTATTTACTATGACTATAGAATCTAGAATATATGTAATGCAGGAACTTTTAGAACCGCATGTTGCCGCCTGTTCAGAGTTTTTAAAAATGTTTGGATGACAGACAGAATAATAAAGGCCAAATGAAAGAGAAGCAATGAGATGACATTGATTGACATTATCTGTACAGCTGGGCTCATGCTAAAAGGGCTGCTGTATGACTAGATTTCCATGCCCACCAAAAAATCTCTTTGTGCACTTTATGCCCCAGTCCTGAATAAATTATCATTCAAGTAGGGGAACCTGATTAAAACCTTTCAGTTTTTTAATTTCGCTCTTTAAGTTCTGAACTGGGAAAACCATTTAATGTCATTAAATGAGAACCAATTCATTTAAATCTGCAGGACTTCCAGAACATGCTGGCGGCTTTGTTACGCGACATCTGGTTCAAACTGCGGTGCCGACAAATCAGGGATGATGTTTGTGTTCTGCTTTGACCAAGACAGTTGGAATTTGTGGCTGCGATGACAAAAAGCTCCAGACAAGGAGAGGAGATATGTGTGTCCACCCAGCTGTCATGAAAGCGAGATGTTAGTTTGTCTCTAGTCCAGAGGGAAAAATGACTTTTGAGTTCAATCAGGAGTGCATTCATTAAAATTTAACAATAATTTGTTTAACAAGCATATTTTTTCAATTCCGCAAAGTGTTTGCCGATTGTCCTTCATTTTGCCGTATGCGATAATCCAGGTATACAGATGCTGGGGTGAGATAAGGCATTTTCCCCCTGGAGTCCAGACACTGGAGGCGGTGGTGGTGGTGGTGATGGAAGTTGCTGCAATCCTATGATAAGCCTGACTTTGCTGCTGATCGGAAGCATCCGGTTCACGCTGTAACGCCAACTGACAGCAGCAGAGAGGAGGACGGGGACGAGGACGGAGGCGGGAGAGCACTTACAATTTATTTATATTCGCTTCAAACTTTAACCACCTCATCCTATTTGTTTTTGCTATTGAATTTTTCAATTGACCATTGTTAAAAAGTGGTTCTAGTGATTAATGTGTTCCCTTGTCCTATTGAATAAATCGTTCTAATGAGATTACAGCACACGTTCTTAAAGAGTCCAATTTGCTCTTTTTTTTATTATCAATCAATAATACTGTATTGCGGTGAAAATATAAGAACATTATTATTGTACTTGTATGGTGAATTAATTAATCAATGTACTTTTATACTTTTCACTATAGCTTATGGCTCAAGAGAGACAGCAAAAAAACGATATTGTTTATGAAAGATCCAGACTTTTTCTAAGATAGCAAACATCTAAAGGTCACTCGCAACACAGCCTGACATCTATTTCACTTTACATTTTAACTACAGGAAACTGAGAACAACACGGGGGGTTCGTTGATCTCCCCAGTGCTCATGCTTCTAACAAACATCTAGCATCCAAGCTCTTTCAGAATGATTCAGAATCGTTTTGTTGGCGACATCATCCTATGTAGATTTCAATGGCAGTATAATGTGTTCTATGATGGTTCTGTGGAGCGGTAATTAAATTGTTTGTGCAGCGAGCACTGAGAAAACAGTTACATCTTGTTGGCTGATGTTGTAAATAAGCACATGGAGGGAAATGACGCTCTTCGGTTTTCGATGGAACAAGTTCTAGAGGAAATGAATGAATTACTGTAAGCATATCACCATAATTGCATTTGCGTTATTTCCCCTGAGCCCCTCGTTTGCCTCCGCTCTTCCCAAAACAGCACAAATAGAGACGTTCATTACCGACAAAGACATCTCTCCTAATTACCTTTCTCTCTCTCTCTGTGTCAGTTTGTACGCAAGCCAACATCTTTTAATATTGTGACCTGTCCTAAAACGGGCTTAGATATTGAGATTATTTAACAGTCAGCAATAGTGTGTAAACTCTCTAATTCAAGCTCTTATCACCAAAAGTTGTAAAACATGTCTCGTTAAATAGTAGTCTGTCTAAGTTAACAGGTGTATGCAGTTTAGCACATTTGCATTGGACTCCTTCTCTGTCCCCGGTAGATAAGAAGCCTTTATTTGTCACATTTAACATCACAAGCGACAAAAAATAGGGTTTGTACAACAGCGAAAATGTGATCTCAGTTACCTGTTTTGGGGGATTTGTTACTTATCCGATTACCAGAGCTGATGATTGTTGGAACAGTGGACCGAGACCGTTTTGATCGGTTTTATTTCAGCTGTGTTGATTTTACCTACAGTTAATGCTCAACTTATAAGCCTTTTTCAAACCTCTCAACCGCATTGTTACATCTACCGTACCTTTTCGACCAAATCGATATTCTGCAGCTATTCATCCTGAAGTCATTTTTGTCTTTTGTCTTGTCGTCTCGGTACAAAAACATCTCAAGGACGATCTTCTTCACTATCATTGAGGGATATTTAAATAGTCACAAATATATCTCTATATCTCTATATCTATCACAAATATAAGTGAAGGGGACAGTTTGCATGAGTCAATATGTTACATATTGTTATATTTTCTGCCCTACGTATTTTCCTACAGACGTTTTCAAAGTACTGCTTTGCAAATGTTTTATCAATCTTGATTTAGCTAGATGTTACCATTTTAGTGGTAACATTTAGCTAAACCACTTTTAGAATCAAAGCGTCACTTCATTATTTTTCCTCCATTCAACCGTTTTGGCGATCAACAACTTGAGATTCATCATCTGCATTTTTGAGAGGATGCTTTTCCTCCCCCTCCATCAGCTCAGTCCCATCAAGCAGCGTGGTCACGGTGGAGAAGTTGAATGAACATGCGTATCTCTTCCGTCATACTGTGCATCGGAACCTTCCTAATGAACCGACACTGCCATCTGCCGGCACACAGCTAGACAACAACCTGACACACAGTCCTGACTCCTGACGTCAGTTGAAATGTTTTCACTTTTCCCCCATTTGTTTTCTGGTTAATAACCTGGTCAACCTCCACAGGTCATCTTATTTTTCTTATAATAATAATAATGTAGCCTCAGGACCACATCCACTCTCCTCTCAGGTTTGGACCACTGGTTTGGGTGGGGCAACTTATTATTATTATTTATAATAATCATTATTTATCCAGTCATATTTTACTTTGAAATTAAAAAGTAATTTTTCATTAACCAATAAATTAGCACTTTAGAGTGAACGAATATTCAGTGGTTTAAAAGTCCTTAGTCTCCTAATTTGCATGAAATAATCAAGTTTATGTTAATTATCTAGCTCTCAGATGAGAGCCGAAATACTTTAACAAAAGGAAGTGCTGGTTCGAGATATTATGTAAACAAGTTGTGACTGAAGGCTACAGCTACTGATTGTTCCAGGAGATACTAGAAGGGCAGTACGTGTAATATTGGCTTCTAAAAGAATATGCTAATCTTCATTTCTATAGTTGTGCTGTATATGGAGGACAATCATACAATCATAATAATGTGATGCGAAAACGTGAACAAAAGACAAATCGTAAGGCAGCGTGATAAACTAAACACAACATTTGCTTGAGCTGAAGATGGAGTCAACAATTATCTGTTATGTTGTTATTATTCCCAAAGAAACTGATTGTAGCCTTGTAGAGCTTATAGCCCAACTTCTTTAAAAAGTGGATTTATTTGACTGAAATCAATCCCCGTTGCAGCTAAGATCCTTGTTTATTTGTGGTTGTTTTTCATGGATGGTACCAATATCATGCACGTGGAACATAAGTTTAATTGTCTATGCGCCGAGGGATGCAAAAACAGCATCTGTTCAATTTCCGGTTGTCCCTCCTCACTGCCCAGTAGAGGAGCAGCACCAATGCAACAGCTGCGCTTGACAGGCTCAAACTGATCACCAACTGTGTAAACAGGCAGAACAATTTTCTGGTGGTGAAAGAGATCAATATATTTAGTGCCACGCGTGAAATGTACCTTTAAACACTTACATCTTAATCAATATACTTAGTTCGGGATCTGGAAGTTATATGGTTTTTGTAACTACATTTCACAATTTACATGTCATAGACTACATTTTTAAGTAATAGAAAATAGTAACTATCATCGTGGGCCCCAATGGATGACCTCTTAAAACCAAAGTGTACTTTGTAGAGAAGAGCCGTCAAGTAGTGGTGTTGGTGTGACACGGTGTCATTCTGCCGGTTTCCAGTGGACTCCCACCGGGCCTGAGAGCTTTCGTAGTCCAGATTGAGAACCCCGGCAGGCAAAACCCGGATCCCCCAGTAAGCCCTCTTCACCCTGCGTAGAGCGACGTCCTGCACGGTGCAACAATAAGTACCTGAAAATGACATGATTGATTAGTGGCACTTTAATTGATCTGGAGTCATTTATAGAGGTGCAGTCACGGCTTTGTTTATGCTGGTCTGAGTACAAATTGTATCACAGCTTCAACAATGTAATTGTGAAAATCTTAATTATTTCATTTTTTAAGAATCATTTGATTGCCAATTGACTTGGTAAATGAAGGCAATGTTATTTTTATATTTTTATTACAATAACAACTTGTACTTGACTTGGCATCTTAAAAAGGGGCAAATTGTATATAACTGTACAACTCAAATTGTTGTAATTGAAAATCAGATACTGTAGAGCAGCCCAGCCGAGAGCCCAAAGGTGCTCTGAGCTTAAGCCAAAATCCAGTGTCTGTGTGTGTGTGTGTGTGTGTGTGTGTGTGTGTGTGTGTGTGTGTGTGTGTGTGTTTACCTGCGTCCTCCTCCTTGACGGGGTTGAGAATCACTCGATCCAGCAGCGGAGCATCCCAGCGGATAAACAGAGAGTCATCAGAAGTGACTATTCCTCGGGCGTAACGCCACGACACCCTGAGCCAATGAAGGAAACATCCCACTCAGCATTACCCTCCATCACAGCAGCAATGGCAGGTTGTTCTCCCTCTTAAAGATGACACACCCTACCTTCATTGGATCATTCAACAGATAGCTTTGAATGGCAGAATGCAAGCTTTTAATAATTGTAAATAAATGTGTTTTTGGCCTTGTTGGACTGCAAAACCTGAGCATTTTTCTTCGGTTCCGTAGGTTACTGTTTGTAATCAAAACAACACCAATCCCTAATAAATCTCTTCCACCCATACCTCCAGGAGAACCTCCCCATGGCCTCCAAGACTTCTCCCAGACAATCAACCTCCACTCTTTGTCCTGAAGTCACAGTCATGGTGCTGAGTCCACACTGCCACGACTCCAGACACTTTACCTTACGGACACGGCAATCCTCCGACACCTTCCATCAAGCAATTTACACAACAATCGGATCATTCAATCAAAAAATATGTTCTAGTTAAGCAAGTTTAAAATGAGTAAATCCAGACTTAAAGAGTTTTAGTAGAGCTCTGCGCAATTAAATACTAATCTCAGTTTTGTCAAATTCAATAGGGCTGGCCGATATCTAATAGAAAAAGTACATATCCTTGTTGATGGTCCCTGTTACTTAAGCTCACGAAGAGACACCACTAGTAAATTGAGGGGTTTCCATAACCAGATAAAAGTTCCTTAGAGTAAATATTAAGAGGGTTTTAAATGATATCTTCATTTTGAGCCAGTTTTGACTTTTGTTACAACATGATTTAATTGAGGTTAAAAACAAATCATTGTTGGTGCGACGCAGCCTTAGTGTTAGCTGTTCAAGTCATCTCTGTTCTACCTCCGTTGCATCTCTGCTGGTCACTTCTTCTGTGGCTTTCTCGCCATCTTTCATCAGACAAACGGTTTGAGTTTTGAAGCCCAGCCCACAGGTGGCGCTGCAGGGCGAGCTGTCAACAATCACCCCCACCGGCACGCTCTGATCCTCCTCAACAGAAGTCAGATGATGGAGGAACAGCAACAGGAGGCAAATCGTGACAGTCAAACGTTGCATCTTGCTGTCTCGTGGTAAATCTGTGGGACATAAAAAAAGCTTTTAGCTTACCGCTCAGAGAACACGTTGTATTTAATCCTCTCACTAAGGTCATGAAGTTTATTAACAAATGTGTTAGTTGGGTAAAATGGGTTAATCAATCTGACTTTAAACTGGGCGACGCTGCAGTAAAACTGTACCTTGTATGACGTTCTGCTCACCCAGTGTTTTAAAGGTCCAGTTGTAAACAGTTGGCTCACCTTTTTTTTCAAATTGAAGTCAAAGAGTAAAGACAATGACAAAACACTTAAGTGTGGATTTTCAAAATTAATTTTGAACTGCATTTTGTGCTGTGACAACCAACATTCCAGGCTGCAGGTTCCGTTTTGCATTCATTCATTTTATTTTTATTTTCTAATTTTATGTATTTGTTACATAACACTGAAACATGTTTAGATCAGGTTTAAGAATTTAGGTGATTCGATTGTTTTAAATGTATGAAGAAACCAATTCCCCAAATTAAATTAATAATTAATTTAATGAATAGTTATTTGTGCTGTATCCTTTTCTATTCGGAGGCCTGTTTGTGGTGTTGAAAATACAACACAACCCTATTTCGTAGCGTTGTGGAAGTTGCGTTTGTAATGAAAGGCAATTCCGCGAGTTGAGAACAGCAGCGTGTGTCTCGTTTATTATTACCATAACAACACTCAAGATGGCGCAGCCCTGTAACCTCACAAGCAAGGGACTCCACGTCACAACATAACAAAACATTTAAAGGGACCGTGATCCCGGAACAGTCGCAATTGTGTGTACAACAAAACAAGAACAATGGTGAATTATGCAGTCACATTCACTACAGCGTCATATTAATTTCCATTAAATCTATTGTAGGCTATTTGATTTTTGCCACAGAACCGTTCCTTTGGACAGAACAAGTGAAAGACAATTTGTTCTCTGTGGATGATTCTGCAGGTTGTAATGTGACCGCTAGAGGTCAGACAAATACCAGCCTAAGGCCCAGCACCACATGCTGTACTGTAAAGTCATTGTAGCCCTCAGTTCATTCATTACTTTGTAAGTTTAAAAATAAATCACACTTCGTTATCATAGAATAAAATGGTTAATCATCCAAATTATAAAATATGATACATTTGTATGCATATTTTATGAAATTGTTTGCAACTGCCTTTATTAATATTCTGTTTTTAAATGAAATATTCAATGATACTGATCGTGATTCCATCCATTATCTTTAACAGCGATCTTTAAGAGGTCGCTGGAAGCGACCCCGGCTGACAGGTTCGACAGACACTTTGAGACTGTGGAACGAATGATTAGAACCCAGAGACAAGGAATAAAGTATTATCATTTCAAAGAGGTCATTAGAAAGCCGTAATGTTTAGGGAAATGGCCATTGTAAAAACATCTCGCGTTAAGCCTTGGTTAAACTAATCAACACATTGAGATTTTCAGGGAGGATATCTGACTCTTCCGCTCTGCCTGATTATTATTCATAGTACCCATCGTGTAGGAAAAACTCTTTCTAATGAATATTAATTAAAACACCTACCAATACAACACAAGTCCATTATTTTCAACTTGAAGGGGAAAATAAATCGAATAATTAAGAGTACAATACTAGAAGTTTTGTTGTTTGTCAGTCCACTTTCATAAAAAAGAAAAAAGTGATGTTGTGATCAGATTAACTGTATTTGGCTAATTTGGTGTTTTCTGGTGGAATGGACCTTTGACAATCAATCATTTTTAAACCCTGAGTGGTACTGCAAGTGAAAGAAAGAGGACTAACACACAAAAATACACACAAACGGGGAAAAACCCTGGAACAGCATCACTCAGAGAGCATCAGAGAGGAACTGAGAATGTTCATGGGCCAGAGACCGTGGCCTAGATAGCAGACCAGAAAACGAAAAAAAAGAATATGGGTGAAGTGGAGGAGAATGAACAGGTAGGCCAGAGGAAAACACAGATAAAGAGAAGTCATTTGAGAACTTAAATAAAGGAAAATAGAGTTTCACTACATTTAGTAGCAAATGTTTAAGTGAGCACATCGAGACCAAGCAAGCACCTGACTTTAATGGCAAGTAATACAGAGTTTACGTTCAGTTAATGTTTGACTCGCCATTAGTTCTGTCAACCATTATTCCCTAACTGAAGCTGGTCTAGTGGGAGAAGGAAGCGGCATAAAGAGCTATAGGGGGGATTTAATTTTAAAACATTGAAAGGGAAACAGCATTGTGGTAATAAAATGCATGTAGGTCGAGTTCCACTGTTAGATGTACAACCTGAAATCAAGAAGGCAGTCTTCAAGGCAACGGCAGAGTGCTCACGCGTTGTAGTTTCCTGATCCACAAAGGCGTGTTTTTTATGACGCTGATCTATTTCTGGGCTTTGGCAATTCGCTTCCTGAAAACAAAGCTTTTGAAAAGAGGGCAGCGCAACAGTCCTCATCGTTTACAGATTGGGAAACTTGTGCATACATATTTCTTTTGGAGTTCAGAAGGGCTAACGGCAATTACAACCACTGCAAAGAAAAGCCCAGGTAAAGAAAAAGCCAGGTGGGTTATTCTTCAGTATTTCAGTCAGAGAAAAAAAATCTGAAAAAACAGGCAGTAACGCTCACTTGAGCCGTTGGCACGTGATGTTGTCTGGCAGAGGAGAGTGATGAACGAGCACCTGCTGAAAATACTGATTGTTGGCGATGGAAATGTTGGGAAATCCTCCTTTGTGCATCGTTACGTCAACGGACAATTCAACCAGGCCTACAAGATGACAATGGGAGGTGCGTCTGCTTTGGTTTGGTCTCACCTTTTCTGTGTTCTGTAGTACAAAGGGGCCGTGCCTTACGCTTGGTTTGGAACCTGTGGGGTTGGGTTTGTGTATAAAGTTTGAAGTATTGGTATAAGCTTTGTCGAATGGTTTACAATTTTCATCGACATGATATTTGGATAAAGACGCCACAGGTTAGAGCTTTCATAAATGTCATAATACATCCATTGTCGGTCCTCTAAATTGTTTATGACTTTCCTACACCCAAGCCAAAACAATTTTAGATATTTACCTTGCTGCAGGTATGGATGGTTAAATCTGAAGATATTGAAAGTATTTAGCTAGAGTTATGCTCCCTGTGAGTAAAGACCTTTAGAATAAAAGTTCAGAAATTAGCAGTAAAGATTGGGGTATTTTCTGTTTTCTATTTTGAGCAAGATTTGTACAACTATTTGTCTTCAGTTCTGTTTCAATTGTTTCACTTCTCACTTCTTACCCCTCACTTTCTCTATTTGTCTTCCTCTCATATGTATTTTCTTTATATCCCTAGTGGATTATTCTGTGAAGCTGCTGCTGTGGTCAGATAAAGATAAAGTCACACTCCAAATATGGGACATCGCAGGTACCAAAATGGTCGGTTCAACGGAGGGATCGAGGGACGCATGGATGAATAACATAAACTCTTTGTCTTCCCTCCAGGACAGGAACGTTTCATATCCATGAACAGGATCTATTATAAAGGCGCACTGGGCTGCGTTGTGATGTTTGACGTCACCAACTCGGCCAGCTTCCTCAGCTGTCGCCATTGGAAACAGGACCTTGACAACAAAGCCACGCTGCCCGACGGAAACTCCATCCCGTGCATCCTCCTGGCCAACAAGGTGAGTCACCGCATTCGAACAATTAACAACTAAATGTGTGTGTCTGTGTAACTCACAGAGATAATGGTCCTCTTTCCGCTTCTGTCAGGGACTGAAACATCACATTAAATGAAACCATTTACATCAAATAAAGGGATTATTCAATTCCAGTCACGATTCTGAACCACTAACCTAACAATATCGAAATGCATTAATGCTTCTCTTTCTCTCTGCAGTGCGATCTAGCACAGCGCGTCGTTTCCGGAGACAGCATCGACCGGTTCAGTAAGGCCAACGGGTTTGTTAGTTGGATGGAGGTTTCGGTCAAAGAGAACAAGAACGTTGGGGAGGCTATGAGGTAAAGACACATATAGAGTATAGATTTGAGGTGATGCAGTGTGACTGAATAGTACTTTTTAAAGTACTTTTTCAACCAACAAGAAATCTGTGACGCAAATATGTAGTCTTTTGTTAATTAAAAAAAGAAAACATTCACCGATTACTTAATCTCGGTCACAATCACAGTTCTGTTTGAAGAACTAGTTCCAACGACAAGAGGCTGCATGGTGGTGTCACTCGTTGGAAGCCTTTCAGGTCCTTTAAAGGAGTACCAAGATAAAGAAAGGACATCAGCAGACTATGCTTACAAACATATTGGTCCTGTATGTCAAAAGGTAATATAATTTTCCCTCAAAAAGTGACAAAAAATACAGTTTCTGTATAAAGGCTTCTGAAAATGTGACACTTCCCGTATTTCATCATTCATTTCCCTTTTTTCAGAGAAAGTGGCTTTACACCTGTTCCATCAAAGCAACGTTTAAACTGTTATAAGCCTGAAATGAATCAGGAAATTAGAATATGGCTTCATGGGGATTTTTGTTTACCTAGATTAATTTTCAATGAGTGGATTGCAACATGGAAACAAGAGGATGCTAAAGACCCTGTCCCCACTGTTTGTTAGTGAGTATTGTACTTGACGTGTTTCTCTCAATGCCACTGAGACAAACGCATAAAAAAGAATTGGTTGGTTGAAGACATTCCTCAATATGAAATATATTTTGTATAATAATCATTGAAGTCACTGTATCTGTTTTAGGGTGTTAGTGCAGGAGATTTTGACGGTTCAGTCAAGTCTGGATCCTCTCCAACCTGGACCTCAAGGGAACATTTACCCTCAACTGGACCCAGAGTGCAACAGAGGAACGGGCTGCTGCTGAATCACAGCAAGAAGCACACAGTCAGGACCTGCTCATCACTTTAGATCACATCCGGTTGTTTGAGGCGCCAATGAGCACAGCCTTTACTGTGGACAGAAGAAGCACATGGGTGTTGATGTTTGGGGGGTGCAGATTGGTGATGCTGCTAAGTCGGTACTTGGTGTTCACGTGTGGGTCTGCGCTGATCTAAGATGGCTCAAAAAGAACCGTATAAACACTTCAATCTGGGAAATGATTTCCAAATGTAGTGTGATTTTTATTTGTTTTGAGTTAATTCTGTTAAGTATTACTATCAAAAACCCCAGTGATCGTCACTCTGACGGGAATAGGATGGGAAGGAGAGGGAGGAATGAATAAACAGAAGGAGCAGAGGCAATGTGTGAGATCGTGTGTATCGTGTTCAAGACAGCAACCACGTCACTTCCTCCATTAGGCTGACACACATGTGTGTGTGTTCCAATACACATACTCACATGCTATTTCTTATGCCAGAACAACATTTACTGTGTCCCGATGCATCGAAAGTGAAATGCAAAATGCCTAAAATTCCAACCTGCCCCGTAGCATCCGCTCCAATTTTGCATTATGTAAGTCAACATCATTTTTAGGCAATTCTGAACCACAATCGTTGGTCGTAAAAGATTTATGAGCAAGAGAATCAAAGTCCATGGTGTTATGAGAAAGTCCCTATTGATTACATATTGTGTGCAAAAGTAAGTACTTTGTAAGTGCAACAGCAGAGTAAGCAATTTTAAGTAAACAACACACGGTATCCGTGGTGTTCCTCTGCTAAGGAGAGTTGGCTAAGTGTGTGTGTGTGTGTGTGTGTGTGTGTGTGTGTGTGTGTGTGTGTGTGTGTGTGTGTGTGTGTGTGTGTGTGTGTTGTTGGGGGAAAATTGTTGAGCCTGCGTGGGGTGAGGCTCTCAGGAATGTGACCCTTGATGTGAGCCGGTGACTTAAGGCAGTCCAGGGTGAGATAAGACACAGATGAAAACATGCGTGCCCTGACTGACCTTTTAGATGTTGTTGATTGTCTGGGTCCATAAATCTGCTACTTTTCCCACATTCCTCTTGAGGGGTGGGCTGTCCTGAGGCAGCACAAACCCCCCTAAGTGTATAAACCCTCCTGTTCTCCTCTTTGACTTTGTCAGATCTTCCTGCTCCTTTTGGGGGAAGGAACCTCTGTCCCTTTTCAGCTGAATTGTAGTCATTTGACTTCTGTCTGTGCTTACGACTTGTGCTGATGATTTCTGTATTCTTTATCTTTTTTCTATATTCTAGTTAGTAATAAATACTTAATCACAAAGCAAGCTCAAGATACTTTTGATTTCTCACATGGGCTAAATCCACAAATTTCCACCACATGTGTGTGTTCATATATGGTTTAAGGCAAATGGTGGGCATGTGCTGCCGTGTTAGAGTATGCATGTGTCATACTAAGTCACATGGATGTGCATCTGCCTTGGAGATCAAAAGCTCACACACATGCTGTCGACATTCTGCTTTTCACGTCAACGTGACCCTGTGACAGCAGAGAATTGTGGGTAAATCCCCACTAACCAAGGAGGGTTTAGAGCACATTCAAAGCGCTTTACATAAATTGTCAAAAGGTGAAGTGGAAAAAGAACACATTGTATAATACAAACATAAGGATAGAAAACAAGTTAACTTTAGATAGTAATGCAGTGTAAGAAATCATCAAATTTTATTTTATTTATTTATTTGACCTTTATTTAACCAGGTAAAATGCATTGTGAACCAATTCTCATTTACAAGGATGACCTGGTCAAGAGGCAGTAGCACAGTCCACACACAAACAGCACAGACACAATGCAGTATGACAACAACATAGTTAAATTAATAAACACTATGTACAAAAACAAATTATTACTGGAAGTACTTTGTAAAAAATGGAAGCGAGAAGTGAGGGCTGGTCAGTCAATAGATCAAATCATCATAATGTGAGTGTTATTAGAGGATATGAGCTTTCCATTGGTCGTGTGTCTCATGAGGCTGTCGCCTTCTCTTTCTATTTAACCGGTTGCTGCATCCTGAGCTCCACCAAAGAACATTGTGATTGGTAAAAAGAATATTTTAACAAGCTGAATCATTTCCCCCTCAATAATAGATTGATACTGAATGGAGCTGTACAAAAGCTAATGTTCTCCCTGAAATGTCTGTTTAGAAAATGAAACTGTGTGGTGAGGAAATTTGACTTTGAATACAAACAATTTGAATGCTCGATGGCAGGAGCGAGGGTGAGCAAAATAAAAAGTTTCTTAAAAGTATGGTCAACGTCATTCAGACAGAAATATTTATATTTAATATTTATTTGATAGAGGGCCTCATGCAAGAACTATTAATGACAATGTTCTGTTGGATGACTTCACAAGCGGCCAAAAACCTGTGTGGGACTTACCGTGTTCAAGTGAACATTTGACATCAGGTTAGTACAGCTAATGCAGATGTTTGACAGCTGCATGGAAACAAAAATGGACAGAACCAAAATCAAGGTCAAGCCCTAGCCTACACTAACAAGCAGAAATACATTTTGGTGTTTTACAGCCTACGTGCATACGAGTTTGAAAAAAATATATTGTTGAGTTCTCCTGTGTTTGCACGCCCGTGTGGGTTTTCTGCCTGCAGGCTTCTTTTCTTATTAGTGAGTTGGAGGAAGACGGGAGCTCTGCGCTGTGACTCAGTTTTCCACACACGCAACAATCCGGGAGAACCCTCAATTAAGTTGTGGAATGTTGCAACGTTGTTGGAAAGTGGCCATTTGTCATTACGCAACGTGTCCTCATGGCTCACTCGTATTCCTTTCTAGTAATAATACAGCCAACTTCTCATTCTAACAGCTGCTAGTGGTTGGCTGGTAGAACATGCCATTGTGCAGTGTGGTACAGTCCCAAAGGTCTGATACAAGTATTTTACAGCTTTTACAAGGTCGTTACTTGGATGAGGCATATTCTAGTGTTTTTACTGGGGTATTGATGTACTTCATCATCCTATGATTGGACTCTGATGTCTTTCTATGCGTCCATGGCCACTTGCATTGCAGCTCTAGTGCTGGTTGTCAAAAAAGAAAAATGCTGTCCAGTAGTTATTAGTGAAGAGGAGCCATTACCCTTTTAATTATCTTAACCTTGATCATAAAAATATAGTTTTTATTATAATCATAGCGAATAAGATAATTAAAACGATAAAGGATATCAGTAATCTAAAAAGTCGTGTTGGATGTTAAAGTAACATAGTTAAGTCCAGCAGTTAATTTGGGAATTTTTATGTTCTGACCATATATGAAATATATACATATAATATAAATGAACAATCTTAAAACAGCACAAATAAAAAAGATGGTTGTTTCAACAAAAACATTTGCTGATTTAGCAGAAGGCGGATGTCAAAACTCCACAGTGTCACGGTGTGGTTCACTTGCTGTCTTATTTTGATAAAAAATAAAGAAAAAATATGAGAAGAGGAATTATGTTTTTACATATTTTGCATTTATAAAAAAGGTGATGATGCGTATTATAATACATCTCATAAAGTTATATTGGACAATATTTATTAAAGTTTATAATCATATAACAGATTTCAATTCGGAGGTGTAAAGAGAGTATAGAGAGCCCTGACTTGACAGTTTCCATAATATTTCAAATAATAAGTAAATTCAAATGTCTTCACGCCTGTCCTTCATTTAAAGAAACATAAATTGGAATCGCTATGATTCAGATAATAATACATTTTTAAATACGTGATCGTTCGCTAATTATTCATGACGTAAGCAACTTGCTGCTGTGACGGTGGACTTCCGTTTTTCCATCAAGTACTATAATTGGATCATCTGTCGTACTGTGTAGCCCCCCCATGCCTCTCAAACGTGACCCGGCATCGTTGCTTACGCGTGTCGGCCAACTGGCCAATGGGAACATCGTATTGCATGTACGTCGCTGTTCACGTTTGACAAGTCTGGTGAGGCGTTTAGGTAATGCGGTAAATCAGATGATCGAATTTTTCTGACATAGTTCACGCTTCGGATAGGTTCTTAAGCAGAGAATACATACAACAAAGAGTGCTTCTGTTTGATACTCTCTTAATTATCCAATTCTGTCATGAGCGCCCCCGTAAATGTATACGTAATGCAGTCTCTCCTTTGAATAAAAACGAGTTGGTTCACATGTAAAAAGAATTACATATCATCTGAAACGTGTTTCACCCGTAGATATGTTATTGTGTTTGCTGTTATTTCACGCCGATGTCATCGATTACACTTTACAATTACAAAGTTGGGTCGAGGTTGTTTGTGTGCACTAGTTTCGTCAATGAACCGTTGTGCCGTGAAGGCAGCATCGGCCTGGGCTCAGGATGTTGGGCATGCGCAGTGAACCCGTCGCTTATGAAACAAAGTAGTGCAGAATTAGGCTGTGTGCGTTATTTAGAGACAACCTACTGGCACACGTCGCTACCATTTACTTCAAAGTGGAAGGAATGGTACTTTCTTTAGGTTTGATATAAATATTACCTTTGAAGAACCAGCGCGAGGTAAGACGGCTGAATTTGGCATTTTGCAGGGTGTACATTTTCGGGGCAACCGGCTACACTTTTTAAAACAGCGCCACTGCTGAATTTACATAAGAATTGCTCTGGTGACCTAATTTCTGTCCACAGGGATCTTGTTGCTGAAGACTCAACGCTTGTATAAATTACCAAATTACATTCATGACATGTTCAACAGCTTTTTATTTTGCACTGTTATTCCGGTGAAGTTCATGATTTGTATGTAATGTCTGCGTCCGTTCAGAATAGACAGTGTGACCTATTCTAAGCAAGTTAAGTTACTAGGATTCCTCAAAATGCCTTTTTAAAAGCGCTCCGTTTTTTTTAAAGCAGTATCCTACATTGTTGTCAAGTCAACCGATGAATTACTCATGTAAAAATCGGAATTACCAAAGTTCAGGCATTTCTTCATATTTTGCTACAACCAGCTGTAAAATACTTCCTCTCTTTTTTTTCAGAATAAAATGTCCCCAAATTCCATCCACTGGTTCCGGAAGGGCCTCCGTCTCCATGACAACCCAGCAATCCTGCAGGCGGTCCAAGGGGCCGGCACGCTGCGCTGCGTTTACTTCCTGGACCCTTGGTTCGCGGGCTCATCCAACGTCGGGGTCAACAGGTGGAGGTAAGATCGTTCAAATGTTTATGTGGTTCAATATTTATGGCTTTACTGAATTTCCCTTTTTCTTTCATTTTTTATTTAACATTTCAAAATTCTATATAACAGTTATATTTCAACCATCCCAAGCGGCCATACCTACAAACAATATTAAACTAATAAGTGTAGCCTCGTCTTTATCTACATGCCTAATGTTATTGTTAGGAATAGTCGGCTTCCATATTGAGGCTTGCACCCCAATCACCCCATGTGTAGTGATGGAGACTTTTGTTTCTTGTCTTAATTGTTTTCTGTTACAGCTGTGACCTGGTTGTACCTGCAGAGCGACACAGAGCTCCCTTTTTCTTTCAGTCACTGCTCACATAATCCCCGTTATATATAGAGGTCAGGTCAGCAGGTATATTTAGTATTAGTTGACTGGATGAATAGGTGACAATCAGCAGGAGTTGGTGTTGTGTAAATGAACTGTGTATGTGTGTTGTGACATAAAACCCGGCCCCATGTTGAGGGACTACGAGTGAGTTCACGTGAGAGCTGAATGAGTCTGTAAACCCTCACATCTGCTCTGCAGGGGGGGGACAAGTCAGTTATGCTGCGACCTTTATTGCTCGCTGGCCCAGTTTTACTCTGAAGTGCTATTTGTATTTCCCACATTGGATTGGCCAATATTGAAGTCGCTGATCAAAAACATCCAGCTGATGTTTGTACTCAAGATGGAAATTGATCACTGGCAGGAAAAACATATCATGTCTCTCTCACAAAATCCAAACCAGATATTCATAAGCAACTTTTCTTCTAATCCGTAAGGCTAAATGGAGAACAGTGGAAGCATGAATCAATCATCATGCTCACACACACACAGGCGAGATCAATCAATCAATGATTGCAATCAATGTTTCTGTTGACCATTCGGCGGTGGAACTTATTTTTCTCACCTCTATTTCCACTTGTTTCTTCCTCGGCTTAAGAAGCTCTTCGGCCTCTTAAAAACCCTCCACACTTTGCAGTTTTCACCTTTTGGAGCTCTCAAGGACTGAGATGTTTATCGACTAGCCTTTCTTGTTACCAGGATTGTATCTAAACTGTAAGAGAAAAAAAGGGTACGGAACCATGAGGCTACCAGTTCAATAGAGCGAAGAACGTTTGAGGAAATACCCTTTTCCCCAGCAGCCATCCAATGCTACCCCCCCCCCACACACACACACACATACTTTTACTAGAATGTACAGTGTGAATCAATCCGTAATAAATATTTCTCTGCCCTCTTCAGGTTTCTCCTCCAGTGTTTGGAGGACCTGGACGCCAACCTTCGGAAGCTCAACTCTCGCCTCTTTGTCATCAGGGGCCAACCAGCCAACGTGTTCCCGCGGCTCTTTAAGGTAAGCGTCCACAGAAAATTGACAGCCTCCCACCATGATCATGTCATCTCAACAAAGTCCTTCATCGAACTCTACTCACAGTTAGGAGACTTAAGACTCTCTCTCTCTCCGTCTCAGGAGTGGAAGATCTCTCGTCTGACCTTCGAGTATGACTCGGAGCCTTTTGGGAAGGAGAGAGACGCTGCTATCAAGAAGCTCGCCATGGAGGCAGGGGTGGAGGTTATAGTCAAGACATCACACACCCTCTACGACCTGGACAAGTGAGCAAAATACAAACGCAGACACAATTTCACATTGTTATAATTATAATGTATTTGTGTGATTTTTTTTTTTTTAAATGTGATTTTTTGAAAAAGGATCTGATTTGGAATTATTATTAGAAATTGATCCAAATCCATTCAAATGTTTTTAGTTAAAAAAAAAGAAATAAAGCCACGTTACTGTTGCATGTTATTTTTAATTTAACTTAATGTGTTCCTGTGCTGTATGTACTATATATGTATGCTAATGTAATAATTGACCTTTTGTAAAATAACGACTGATAGATTTTAGTCTTTAAGTTATTTATTTGACAGTCCTAAATTTGATGAAAGATGACCAGAAAGTGGAAGAAAGGTGACCAGTCTCCTTTCTTCCACCAGGATCATTGAGCTGAATGGTGGACAACCTCCTCTCACCTACAAGCGCTTCCAGACTCTGATCAGTCGCCTGGATCCTCCTGAGATGCCTGTTGAGACACTGTCGCAAACCCTGATGGGTCGCTGTGTCACCCCCGTCTCTGAGGACCACGGAGACAAGTACGGGGTCCCGTCCCTGGAAGAGCTGGGTAAGAAAACCAGCGCACACCTCTGCACTTGGACATGTATACACACGGTGTGGGTCGCTGAGGTAGAACCTCTAAAACCAGGGGTGTCAAACTAATTTCAGTTAAGGTGCCACACACTGCCCACTCTGATCTCAACTGGGCCCGAGCAGTGAAATCACAGGCGATGGTTGTATGAGACCTTATGAGGATCCCTCCTCCGTATTTTATTCATTACAGCAACATTGTATATGTAAAGATGGAAGCTATTATTTAATAGCTACCCAAATATACATTTTGTTGACAAAATACTAATTTAGAAAAGCTTCTCTATTAGCGAAAGAGCAACCACATGACATTGGGACATTGCTGGTGATGCTTTGTAGTCATTAGCTGGTGAAAGGCAATGCTGATATTCTTGATTAAAACTACATACGTTGTTATTTTAGTGTACTTGACATAAATGAAGGATTGTCTATTCATCCAATATACGAGTGCCACACTGTTCTTACCCAGGAAAATGACTCAGAAGATGTTTTTTCCCCAGGCTTTGACACAGAGGGCTTGCCTACGGCCGTGTGGCCGGGAGGAGAGACCGAGGCACTGACGAGAATAGAGCGCCATCTAGAGAGAAAGGTCAGTACTGCACCTCTTTTTGTTAGGCTAATGGATGCTTGAAGGTTCAGCAGAAAAAATGTTTATGATGGTTTTAAGTGACAGAAACACGCTTTTTAAATAAAATAATAGAATAATGAAATGTCTACAAAATGAACATTTTTTGATTCCACGGTTGCCTCTATTCTTGTATATGTCAAATCTCCTAATTGACATGCTTTTTTTATCCTGTTCCTTAAATAAATACCAAAAAAACGTATAAATGTGCCTTGGATCTACCATCTCTAATCCACGATCCCTCTCTGTCCCCCTTCTTTCTGTTTAGGCGTGGGTGGCTAATTTTGAGCGTCCCAGAATGAACGCCAACTCATTGCTGGCCAGCCCAACGGGCCTCAGCCCTTACCTGCGCTTTGGCTGCCTCTCCTGTCGCCTTTTCTACTTCAAGCTTACTGACCTCTACCACAAGGTCAGTTTATAAATCCCCCGGTGTGGCTCACTTTTCTATAAAAGCTACAAGAAAACAGCATCACTCAATGTAGAAAGTGTTAATATTTGCTACAGCTTCACAGTTATTTTACAGAACCTGGAAGAAAGAAAACATCTTTTTACAACATCGGCTAGTGTATATAAATATTCTCTATTCTTGCTGTTTCTTTTGACCCAGGTAAAAAAGAACAGCTCCCCTCCACTCTCCCTGTATGGCCAGCTGCTGTGGCGGGAGTTCTTCTACACCACAGCAACCAACAACCCACGCTTTGACAAGATGGAGGGGAACCCGATCTGCGTCCGCATACCCTGGGAAAAAAATCCCGAGGCACTTGCCAAGTGGGCGGAGGCAAAGACAGGATTTCCCTGGATAGACGCCATCATGACTCAGCTGAGGCAGGAGGGGTGGATCCATCACCTGGCCAGGCATGCAGTAGCTTGCTTCCTCACCAGGGGGGACCTGTGGATCAGTTGGGAGGAAGGAATGAAGGTGAGAATGCACGGACAGGGCAGGGACAGCAGTGGATGGGACACCAGACATAGACTGCAATAATGAATGATGTCACATTCAGGACAGTTCCATTTTTAAAATGGTGAATAAACTTAAAACCCTTGTTTTTATGTGGCAGGTCTTTGAGGAGCTGCTCCTAGATGCAGACTGGAGCGTGAACGCGGGCAGCTGGATGTGGCTTTCCTGCAGTTCATTTTTCCAGCAGTTTTTCCACTGCTACTGCCCCGTGGGCTTTGGGCGCCGCACAGACCCCAACGGGGACTTCATAAGGTGGGTACCTTTCCTGGCACTGCTGACCTCCTATGTGGATGGCACCCGTGCTCCCTCTGTCTCTTTGGACTTCATGCTTACCGGGAAACACGTTGACACACATTTCAGTGTTCATCTTTGCGTGCCTGTAATTGTCAGAGAATGCCCCTTTGGTCGTTGTGTAGCTATTTGTGGATACGTTTTTGGAAGTTGTTACCCTCGGTAACAACCAATGTGACATGTGCTTCTCTGGGCTCGAGCTGAGCCAGAGCTTCATGCTGATGCTTGGATGTCCAGTCATTTTGCCTCGGCTTCTCCCTATCGCGGCAGAGATCTGACTGAATTAAAGAGGATGGGGATGATCTGACACAATCTTATGACAGGGGGGTACCCTATTAAATTGCTGGATTACTACTGTGAGATGTTTAGTTCTCTATCTTGTTGCTTTCGGCAATTATTGGATGCTTTCTTGGAGGATCATCCTTTTTCTGTTTGCAGAAAAAAATGTTTGGGACCAGAGCCCCTCATTTTTCTACCAGGCTGTGATCTGTACGCTTCATTGTGCACTGCATTGATATTCCACTTTAATGCCAGAATCACAGTAATTCCCCACAAGTTTTTGACTCGCACCGGGACTTTGTACAATACACTTCTCATCTATCTGCCATATCGTGCAGTGTTGTGGTTCATTTTGAAGCAACTGTTTTTCATAAGACTTGAATTGCTGATGACCAGCATGCTCTTATCAGTTACACCACATACATAGGCTGTAAAATGAAAACGCAATGATTCCTTTGTAGTGAAAACAGTAATAAAACACGGTATCTTATCACATATATGCATCATTATTGATAGGATCGAGAAGATGCAATTGCACTTAATTATCAATATTTCACAATTAAACTTTGAATCTTTTGAAATAAAGATGTATGTCTTTTTGGTCAGATATTTTCTCCTAACCCTTCAAATTATCCACATACTGCATGCCTGCATGAGCCCTGTTTTACTCCCTGTGCTTGCAGACGATACTTACCTGTCCTCCGAGGTTTCCCCGCCAAATTCATCTACGACCCATGGAACGCTCCAGAGTCCGTGCAGGCAACTGCCAAGTGCATAATAGGTGTCCATTACCCAAAGCCCATGGTGCACCACGCAGAAGCGAGCCGACTTAACATCGAAAGGATGAAGCAGATCTACCAGCAACTCAGTCGATACAGGGGACTGGGTAAGAGATCAATTCATTGACTAAATCAGTGGTCCTCAAACCTTTTCTGTCAGGCCCCACAAAAATGTAACAAAATGGTCCATGCTGAATTTTCATTGAAATAATGACATTTTGTGACTCCGTGTGTTATTAATAGCAAGACACTGAGTGCTTCACAGCAGCACACTGCTCCTTAATCACTAAGGATGGGTAAGATGGAGAGAATAGTTTCCCCATGTGGGATCAATAAAAGATAATAAATAAAATTATTATTAATATTTTAAAAGAATTAAAAAAATTCCCCCAGCCCCTCGCGCACTAGCTGTAATACGTCCGCGCCCCACAGTTTGAGAACCACTTTACTAGATTAACAGCAGAGCCATGCCAGTTGGCCCGCAGGGCTGCACAGTTTAATACTTGGGCTGCACCATACAAGGATACTAGAGAGTTATGCAATGTCCTGCTGTACAGTAACAAATGTGGTAGTTTATTTCCCATTAGTTGGACTGCAACAGTGACAAACCCCCACAACCCAATTTACAATAGGTCTATAAACTATGAGAAGAGACTTTTTACCGAAGAGATATTTGAGAAATCAAGCATTAAAGCACAGGTTTCCCAGACATACGGCATCCGTCCCTTTTTAAAAGGGCCAAACAGACTTATGTCCTCTCTATTCGGGGTAGAATAACAAAGGTGTTCTTGTCTTTCAGGGATGCTGGCATCAGTGCCGTCCACAAATGGGAATGGAACCGGAGGGATGATGGCCTTCTCTCCTGGAGAGCAGCAGCCAGGGAACACCAACAACAACTCTCATTGTAAGTAAAAAAATGTACTTGACATAGTGGTTGGTGCCTTCATTAAAATGGGTTGGTACATCTACTCATTGCAATTAGTCCCATGTTTTCAACTCTGTTTTTGTTTTTTTCCAATGCCTGCAGTGTCAGGGAGCTCCACTGCAACGGGCAGCGGAAGCATCCCGCTCAATTTTCAAAACGAAGAACCCAGGGAGCCGAGCAGCAGACTCCAAACACCCTCACCGCAGCACGGTAGGGCCGCCCCTCACATGTTTTCTGTCTGCGTTTCTAGCCTTTTATATTTAAACTTTAACCTAAGCTGAGCTAAGGTTTGCCAGTTAGCTGACACGGGGCATGCATCTGGTGTTTGTTGCTTTGTGACATTAACTGATTTATTTGCAAACAGCAAGCGGGTTAGTTGGCTTTTGTGGAGCCAATAGTCCCCAAAAAATGTTAGACCACAGATAATAACATATCATGATATGTGACGGGTGTCACATCAATGTTTTGGCGGATGCTTGATTGTTATTGTAGCAGTGTACGATAGCTCAAAAAACATTCCAGTTCAAGGTTTGTTTCTTTCTGCCTGTTGCAGGATACCACTCCGAATCCAGCCACACCGTCACCAGCAGCCAAGTCCACCACGAGTTTGCTGTGCCTCAACACCCAGGTAGGAAACCTAAAGGGTCTGGTGCCACTATCTCTCTCTCTCGTGCTACTACCACACAAGGGCGACCCGATTCCTCCCCACCACCAATATGCGGTTCTTCCCAGTGCACTTAGGTCACAGGAGACTCGCCTAACCAAAAGAGTGTGTCTGATGATGATGAAGTGTTTTCTTCTTCAGGACTCGTCCCCCACGGCAGAGGTGTTACAGGGAAGCGGGAGCGCGAGTCGGAGCGAGCAGGCTCGGGCGAGAGAGACACGGCGTCCTGCTCGGCGCACAAGATGCAGCGGCAGAGTGCTCAGGTCAGACTATAGTCACAGTGCCCGATGCGGCGGCATCTTCCCCCGTCTTTTGCTTTTCAACAGCTTTCGGGTGCCACCCACTGATATGAAGTGTGATCTCTACAGAAAGTACATCTCTTATATGTCTGTCTCTAATCACGGCGAGTGTGCTTTTGTCCCCAGAGGGCAGATTACCCAATGCAGAGCACCTGAAAGGCGAGGCATGAAAGCCGTGCCCCCGCATTGCTCATTTTCCTTTCGCCGTCTGTTGGGTTATTGCAGACAGTTTGGCATCCTTTGGTTTTGGCACCTACCCGTCAGGTTGCTGATGTTACTGACTGATGTAACCACACTTCAAAACGGTAGCTAGTGGTGTTCCGATCGCCCATCACGCTTCAGATCACTTATGGATCAACCAGTATTTTTTATATATTTTTTTTATATAGTGTAATCATCGTAGTGTGTAATAAAGTTAAACTGATGTTCTTTTCATAGTAACAATACCCTAAATTAATGTTGCACCCCTACCTTTAAAAACGATGTGATTTTCCCTATTTTTATTATTATTATTTAGGGGTGTAACGTTTCATTTTAACAACGATTCGATTCGAATCAGGATTCATGGTTGCCGATTCGATTCATGGACGATCTGGGTTAATGACTTGAAATCGATTCAGTAACTTTACTGGACAGTGCAGGCAAAGTTTCTGAGATCCCTGTTGTTTCATGTAACAAAATCAAGTTTAAATTAATTATGGATATTATAAACAAGCAAACAACAATTAACGGCAAATGTATTAACCTTTTATTTGAATCCAGTGCAATTTTAAATGTTAACATTACACAACAATTACACAATATTTGGATCAATTCACAGAACCCCAGATTTTCAACCACATTATAGGGTCGCATGTCTTTACAGATAAACTTGGCAATTGTTACTGTGATGTTGGGTTTGGTGCTGGCGAGGCCTGAGGTGTCTGCAGAGCTGGAGTTACCTTCTGCTGCTGCTGCAGCGGTGACGCTGCTAGAGGTGCCTGACTGTCGGCGTTGTTTAATCGCACGGCGCCTTAGTAGATGGCCGGAAAGATTCGTCGTGTTTCTGTGGTTTATTTGTCTTCTACATATTCTACGAACAGCAACCGACTTATTCAGAACACCTCTGTGTTTGCAAAAGCCAAAATGTTTCCACGCGCTGGATCGATAAGTTAGTTTGTAAATGTCTCGCTCGCAGTCGTCTCCTCCACGCTGTGTTTTGTTGTTGTTCAGAGTTTCGCGCGGCTGCCGCTGCGTACTGATGACGTCACAGACAAGCAGACTGAATCGAGTAACGTTTAACGTTTCTAAAGTGCTAAAAAACAAACAAACAAACACTCATCCGTGCCGTTTTTGTACTTAAATCCAATGTGCAGTTTCCAAGTATCGATACAATCGATTATGTACCATTTCAATCAATTTGTAGTCGATATATGTGGTCCGGAATGCCGATCTGCGGAGCACAGATCAATTCAGTTGGATCGCAAGAATATAAATTGATTCAGTGAATGGATCGTTACACCCCTATTATTATTATTATTATTATTATTACAGGTCATTTTTGCTAACGCTTTTCTCCAAAGCGACTTGCATTGCATTTTTTACCCACGGCTTTTTACATTTTTTTGCCGGGGAGCAATTATTCGAGGTTTGGTGTCCTGCTCAGGGACACTTCGACATGGGACATGGAGCTGCCGGGAATCAAACCACCAACCTTGCGGTTCCCGGCACACCCTCTCTACCCCTGCGCCAATCAATATTTCCTTAACATGGTTGCACAATCAGATCCTGCTCACTGCTCCGCTGCTTGTCATGCTGCCTGCACGCATTCCATGCAAGGCGGGGGGGTTGCCCAGCGCGCTCACGGCGTGTAATAGCAGGGGAGACACAAGCGTGCACAAGCTGCAGGCTAATATTAATGTCAGGTTTTCAAAAAGATGGCCAGGAGCAAGCTGATTAAAAAAAGTATTGAGTAAGAGGGTATGAAGTCAACATAATTCATGTTGCACCTAAACCGAAGTATTCTAATGTTTTATTTTGATTTGTTTATTTCAAATTGGATACCTTCTTGTTTTTATGTAAAACTACAGCCACCAGTTCTTTGCCTGAAGTGTTTTGAACTTCTTTACTCAATAGATGGAAAGCAAAGTTATATTTGACTCCTCCCCTTTTCTATGCTGATCTGAAAAATGATCCAAGCTGTGACTACTCATCCGTGATCCGAAACCCGGAGCCAGGTTGTGGAAATGTAATGTTACTATAAATGCTTTAATGTGGCTGGTGGTTGTTGATCTTTATACTTTAATTAAATAATTTATACCATGACTTCTGAGTGGCTATTTTAAAACGCGCTTACCTCAACATTTAGAACAGTTTATCTATCCCCCATGTATCAGTGAAAGTTGGAGTGATATAAATATAGTGACCAAGCAACCACACAATAAATGGAGACTGTCAGTCATTTATGTAAATTTCACAACAATATGCAGAACAAATGTTTGAGTAGGTGGGTGACCGAAACTGAAAAACAAACAAAGAAGTGTAGGAAGGCAAACTGAAAGAAAAAATGTTGTTGTGTAAATGAGATGTGCAAGGTTTTCTCTCCTTTAAAATCCTCTGTGTTTTCTCTCTGTTGCCGGCAGGCTACCTAGACCAGTTTGGAGTCACCATCCGGCCTCCACAGAGAGGAAGTCCCAACTTCAACTGCTCTCCTTCTTTAATAGTCCGAAAATTCCAAGTGGAGTAAACACAACGGTGAAAATGTAATTTCGACCAGATTTCTAAAAGCCCTTTAACATCAGAGGCCATTGACCTCTGACCTTCTGCAGTTGCGAAGGGACGAGAGAAGCGCGATGAGCAAAGAAAGAATATTCTTTATATGAATATAGAATAAAGATTTTTTTTTTTTTAAATGAAAAAATCGGAATCTATTGCTTGTTTTGTAATATGACTGTCCTGATGTGTTGCATCTCGTGGTGCCCACTAGGAAAACACCATCACCCACACCCATGAGGAGCGATTGGTCTCACATCAGGAATATCTTGTTGTCACATGTCATCTTCACGTAATAAAATGTGGCAATCCAATGATGGAGGACGATGTGTCACTAATCCTTAAACCCGGGGTGACCAATTTTTCTTTAATGTGGGCCCGACCCCGCTTCCTAACATCAACGCAACTTTTGAATGAATTCAGGGGAACATTGGATGTGATCACTTTATTTGTATTGGCAGCTAACGGCTTATATTTGTATAGTTTTCCAGATTATATTTAAGACAAACGTCATCTGAAAGATATCCAGGGTAAAAAAAAAAGTTTGGTTTCTTTTGTCGGCCTTGCATGTGTACAGTGTGTTACTTTAGATTTCTGGGGAAATGTAAAATGTATTGAGATAATGGATTAAAGAGTTTTTGTTGTAGCGGCCTGTGGGATTATTCTTTTTTTAAGTAACCCTAAATTGCCACTGTTACTGACTTTGACTTTGTCTGGGATTGTTTTTATATGGCTGAACCAGGAGCTGGCTCTGTTCCATAGGGTTATTGAGAACTCCGACTAACCTCCCTGTCGTCATCCTCAAAGTGTTGCTTTGTCATTTTGGCACTTTCTGACACTCGCATGACGGGTTGGACAAGTTGTCTATCTTTCACAATGAATTGTGGTCGAGTTTTGACTGATGTAACACTCTTACCCTTGTTTTCCTCTGTATAAATCATCCCTGTTTCTCAATATTCCCTCACAAATGTGAACACTCCTTAATGAATAATTTATTTTACTACACACTTCAACGGTAGACCTGTAGAGCTACCTGCCATATTTTTGCCTCAGATATATTTAAAGCAGAAAATATAATGTAACCAATAAATACACATTGCAAAATGACAGTTTGACATATCAACTTGTAGTGACAGACGTTGTTCAGTCTATGCACCGCATCTGATACCACGTGATGTCATACATCCTCCCACCACCACCACTTTTACACCTTGTGAGAACACTGCGATTTCTTCTGTAAAAAAACAGCCAGCTGCCTCTCTTGTTGATGCCAACAGCGTGACCGTGCACCCACTGACACGCACGTCTGCGTTAGCGGCAAAGAGCTGCAAATGGGAATTGTTAAGATGTCTCGGAGGACAAATGTAGGCTGCGTTAACTTCAAATGGGACGTCAGGAATAATGTCGCTATAGGCTTCACAATAAAGGCTGCGGCTGTTTAAGAATCTATGTTGGAGGCTTACACCCGCATTTTTCATGACTCACTCCAGCACACCATATCGTTCACACTAATACGGGTCTCTCTAATTGTGCCTGTCTGCACACGTCAAACATACTGCACGCATGCACACACACAGACACACACATACAGAGCCTTGCTTCAAGCCCCAGTCGATCTGACTTTGTTCAAGCAGTGTAATTACCCCATGCAAATATATTTATTTTGGTGCTTTGTCAGGTTAACTGAAAAACTGTTTTTTTTTTGTTTGTTTGTTTTTCTCGGCAAAAATGACAAATAATAGCATGCAAAAAAAAGTTATTTTCTTTATTGATGTTGTTTTCCTTCCAATTGACCTTTCTTTCTTGTCGATATCCATGTTAATTTCATCACCTTTTTAAATACTTAAACTTTGACTCGCAGCCTCGAGGCGATCAGCCTGTCAGCCTGGTTCCAGTATCTTGCTACTTCTTGTAGTGTCTATTTTCTGAGAGTTACTCATCCACCAGAATAAGTAGAAACCCCACCCCCAGACTTTTGAAAATCTTGGGTTTCTGCTTTCGCTTGCACAATGAAACTTACACTAGATGTGTCCGTTGCAGATTTTAATAAAAATGCAGAATCAAGGAGGACTTCTAGAACAGTATCGACTGACCTGTAATAGGAACCCTTTTGTATCTAACTGGCTTCAGTCTGTTGGGTAACAAACGTAAGGTCTCTATTCAATCAAATATAATTTATGTGATTCAGGTTGCTAATATTCCATGATATGCTTGGACCAGCAAGGCTTCAGCATGTTTTCTAAGGCAGCCAGCCAACACAACGTATAAACGTAAGGTTATCTGAGGGAAGCATCCAAGCAGTTTAATCTCTCGATGTTTGCGGCACAAACATCGAGAGAGAGAGAGCGGATTAATAAATCAATTTTTTTAAGTGAAAATGGTCTCCACTCAAGTTTCTTCACATGCTTTACACTAAATGTAATTTGCCCACATTAATTTAACTTTAAACTGTACTTCTATTATCTGGTACACTTTCTGTTGTTGTGGCGCATTCTCCCTGTCGTTATGAACGTCATAACATTTTATTTAAATGATTATATTTGTCACGGACATCCTGAAGTCATATAGTAATAAAGTGTGGTGTCCTGATTTACATATGTGTTGGAGTATATGTAGGGGTTCCCTGTGTGTAAATTAGTAATACACGCAGTTTGTGTGACGCACACAAAATGCATGGTTACGTTTGTTTGTTTGTTTTTAATTTGGAATGAATTTATTTTATGCATGTTGCTTTCTAAGTGGCAGTGCAGTGCTGGGGTTTCGCCTCGGTGTCCTAAACCCGTATCTCTCATCCTGAGACCTGTAACATTTGGCTAGAAAACACTGCCCCACAACAACGTTAAAAATGTTAGAAATGTTAGATATCGTTTGCATTCTTTATGAACATCTTTTGTTCCTGCGCTCCTCCTCTCTCGCACTCCTTCCATCCACAAACCTGTTTCCTTTTCTTGCACAAAATCAACATGTCATCACAAGGTCTTCCTCAGGAAAATAGAAAGGTTTTGGACAACAGCAACACATTAAAGTAATGGAAAAGCATGGTTTTGTTCCTTAGCTACATTTAAGCAATTTCTAGCAATTCCTTTGGTTATATCCTGTATTAAATAATATTTTAACAAAGCACTCTCTGAGCTAAATGTCAAGGCCTTTGTTGCCTTGACATTTAAAGAGAAAAGCAGAAGAAGGGACTGACAGTGAACGTGAGTCACTGCTCACTGCATGGCCACCTTTCACAGGCCCCGTTATAAATGAATACAATACAATGGGGATGAGGCGAGGGAGTATGAAAATGTATCCTCGATAATGTGACATGACTTCATCACTGTTGATTAGTCACTAATCAGTGTGGCTGTCCTGCCGACCTGGTTGTCAATGTGTTTGTGGTCAAAATGCGAATGTGCCCGCTCGGGATCACCCTATACACCTAAAAGTACGTCCAGGATTTACATGATGCAAACCATCAGTGCCAATACAGGAAGTACGTCCTCTGTTGGGTGGAATAGCTTACTCCAAAAATTGTGCGTACCCATAGAGACTCCCTACGGTCCCTACGGTTGTCATCAGCATCAATGCAAATGTTACATCTCATTTATATTTCATGTCAACATTTACATTTCTCTGTGTTACATGCATAACGGGAGACACAAAAAACACTAAACTTTAAATTTTTGCATTTGCTCACAGTTCCGCTTCTCTCATTGCATGCATTACATATAAAACCTTTCACTGGTTCTCCCGCTGCAGCCTGACATAGCTGACCGAAAGCAAGGGAGCGAGCAGGGATCGTGTGTCAGGCTGTTTATAGATGGGGCAGCCTGTTACTACACGCCTTTTGGGATAGCCGTGTGTAGGCGTTTCTAAGCAAATCTCTCTCGAGCGTGGTGAGCATAAGTGACGTTGTAGGTGTGGAAGTCCCAAGAATCACGAGATCTCCCTTTTCACCTGTGCGTGCAATTGTTGTGGGTTTTTTAATAGTATCAGGAGAAGGAGCAGAATGCTGCAACGCTGTTCAATCTTTTTGTTCATTGACTGTGTTTTAGGAATACTACTTATACTACTTTGTGGGACAATATATCCTTCAAATAGGACTATATCACAAAATTTGTCAAAATCTACCCATCATATCAATACCAACACGAACAGGGTAATGGATTATACCCTGTGTTTTAGGTCCTGCATTGATAAATCATTAAATTTTAATAAGGGTGTGTTTGTAAAAATTCAGAAAGTAACACATCTCAATGCTAGGGAGCAAAAATCCACTGAAAAAAAATGTGAAAAAATCCACAGCTCTTTATATTTCTTTTGTGAAGCAAGTTACATATTGTGTTTAATACCTGAGAAAATGAACCACGTGAAATCAAGAGTAACATGTGACAACAAAGCCAAGATTACATCCTTGTGTTCATGAAAGACCCACGCAGTAGATTCCCCTTTGATGCAAATGCTCTTTCGTCACCGCCGCAAAAGATATATAAACGCCGGAGTGACAGAGGGCAGACAGGTTTGTGAGAGAGGACTCCGCAGGTTAGACAGAAGAGATCACCTCCTTTGTTGCTCTCTGAGTTCAAGGAATTTGCTCCGGTTAATTAGCCTCACCATGAACTTCCCTTCTCTTTTGGTGAGTACTGACAGTAATATGGGAGCTTTTCAGAGATTGATAAATTGCCACGGCTGAGGGGTGTGAAGGTTTATCTTTTATGTAGTTCATGCTTTTTACATGTAGTGCAGAAATTATGTTGTATTTCTTCTGCAAAGAAGGAACTGACAGTTGGTATGGTATGGTAATGGTATTTTACTTCATAGAATACATATTGTGCATGACTGGTATTGTGCATAGACATTACCTACCAAAAAATACTGCAAAATTCATCAAAGCTTTAAACACTACTTCATTCATATGTTTTGGGGGGTTTTGCATTTTAGCTTTTATTTATTACTAGATAACAAGTAAAGGTAGGAAATGCAGATGATGTTAATAATGTGACTCTAACATATATCTGTGTTTCTTCCCAGTTTATTCTTGGTCTGATGGGGATGGTGTGCAGCGAAAGTGTATGTGGCCCTGACTGCAAAAGTACCACTAACTATTGCCAGCCAGACTTCAAACATGTGTCGGAACTCCGGCACTCTTCAATTGCACCCTGGAATTTTGAGTGAGTTTATTTTCTTTGGCCAGAGGGGATCATTGTTTTGGGTTTTTTAAATGTAGGGCGGGTTACAGAAGTGTTTTTCAAAAAACATCAGAAATGAAAATAAGGTGAAGGCACTCTCACTGGTTCCTAAAAGGCTGTGTGTCAAGAAGGAAAAAGAGTTTGAAAAGAAATTGATAAAAAATGAAATATTAACTTGGGTTTGAATATTTGTTGTAGCTTTGAAAGAACTTGAATGAAGTAAATCTTTCCTTATTCATCTATGAACCAGCCTTCGTACCCCCTAAACCTCTATGTACAAGAATGTTAAGAAAGTGGTTTTATGAATATTTGGAGATTGTGAGATTGTGTGTCAACAATGGGAATGTTGATCAAAAAGTATTTTTTAAAAGTTCAATCAATTAATTTATGAAATGTGACATAAATTGATATTTCAGTTTTAATTAGCTTTTTTTTTTGTTTACCTTTGTGCAAATTCCTTTATTTATCCACTCTTTTATTCCATTTTTGTTTACGTGTTTGACAGACAATGGTTGACAGACTGCAGAGTAAATCAATGAAATATCAATTTATGTCACATAAATTGATACATTCAATGGCATCGTCATTCGTTCATAAAGCAAATTATTGATTAATACATATGATTTGTGATGGTTCTGTTGTTCAAAATGTTTTACCAATTTGCTTCCAGACATGCCTCCATATTCATGTATACTTTTCTCCCTTTTTTCCAGTGAGGATAAGATAAACGGCCGGGAGCCCGCAATAATCCAGTATGCTCATTGCAATAGTTGTAATGTGAAGGACATGATCGCTAAACCTATCATCCTCCAGGTTTCGGTCTACCGCCACGTGCGCGTAAACGACACCAGTTACACGTGGTGCAAGTGTCCCTTCAATTTGGCTGTTGGGTGTACATGTGTCAGCAATAAATGAAAATGACCACAGGACATC